AACAGCCTGAGGGTAACGCGCAGGTGGAAGGTGCAGTAGGGAAGGATGTTGACTGCACAGAGGTTTAAGGGCTCAAAGGTGATGAGCTGTGAGAAGGTCAACACCAGAGTCTGGTCTGAATCAGTGAGGTATATTTGAACTGCAGGAATGAGCTGAGCTGCAATATATGTGTTTTCAGAGCAGTGAAACTATTAAAACAACTCGTATAAGAGGGGCATGCTATAAACTGCAGCCAAGCAAACACACAACACACTGTCATTATTTTCCTGGCTGGCAGCTAAAAATAGGGCTTTTTTTAATCCTTGTACCACAGGCTGTCGTTATAACCTCACTGTGGATCAGTGCTGGTCCACAAAACGTCCATCAATCAAATGACGAGCAGCAGAGAAACCACAGCTATAGGCTAGGTGTTACGGATCATCAGTGGGACATTAGTATCAGGTGCTGATGGTTTTCTCCTGCAAGGGGATGACAGGAAATCTACAGCAGATGGGGACTGTACAGAAGCAAGAGTGGCTGTGAGCATTACGGCAGGTTGGCGGCGAGATCAACATACAGGAACCATCAGAACCACCGATGAGAAGGAGAAGAACACAGCCATAAAACAACTTGGCCGGCTCGTCCTCAGTGAAGCCACTGCTTAGCATTCAAACTAAACAGCGTCTGTGTCACGGCTTCCTCCGGATAAACTGCTACAGAGTCAGTCTCATCCACCCGGTCAGGTCTAAATACAGCTTTACAAAGCTGGGCTGACACATTCAAGCACATTATAGTTGAGTGATATTTTGTGGCAATGCAGCTGGACAATATTGGAGATGTACTGGTTGTTATGACAGGTGGGTTAATGTGTGCAGAGCTGAGCTGACATGAACTAGTTCAGTCTCCAGCTTATGCTTATTAGTTTGTACAGCATTAAACAAAGGTTCGGCTCTTGGTTAAGTTTTAGGTGAATAAAGCTGATGAAACTTTCTCAGGTGACAAACATGCAAGATCGCAATCCGTTGTCTCATTATCACGTCAAGAAGCTTACTTTACATTATTTGCATGATTCTGTCACATTATGTTGTGTTTCTAAAAGTCAGAACGGTCCATTCACACTGTGTCAGTAAGTGACCAGTGTGTGTGGTTGGGTAACAGATGAGAAATCGGGTTGTTCCAGGTAGAAATGATGGCTGTTGTTGCAAATGACGGTGACGCTCTCCTGCTCCGTTTCTCCTGTTTCAACTGAGCCTGCTCCTGAAAATGGTTCTAGAAGGGAGAGAGAAGACAAATGTAAATGTAACACAGCTCAAAACCGATAAATAAAACTGTTTTATTTTATTTAACTTTTATTTTACCCAGAAATCCTGAGATTAAAAATCTCTTTTACACAAGTGTCCTGGTCGACACAAACAACTACAAAAATGACAATAAAATACAGTATGACCACAGACAAATCACCTCATCTCATTACATTACTTATGTCCTATCCAACAGAGTGTTGTTTTCCTCTGTATATCCATCTCATGGACAACACTCTGCCTCACAGCTGCAGAAAACCCTGCAAGTTCTGGACAGTGTTTTTTAAATTACTGTGACTGTGGGAGCATCTTTCAGTAGACACACAGTTGTAGTGGTGGGCAAAGTGGGGTTAACCCTGATGACTAAACTGATCACGATGGGTAAAGAGGTAGAGTGTCTCATGAACCTCCGTCTCTACCTGGCTGCTAGATGTCCACCTTGCTCGGGCCGACGCTGTGGATGAGCTGGGAGGTTTCAGAGGCAGCGCTGTACGCTTGGATCAGCAGGTTCTTGTTGAGGTCCCCGACCCCGCTGCTGGCCTGCAGTTTGGGGTACGGTGGTGTTTCTGCACCCTGTGGCTGTCCTGGAGTCTGGCTGTCGAGGCCCATCAGGTGTTCGAGGGGGCAGCCGTCTGTTCCCTCGGTGACGGGTGAAAACTCCTGAGCGCTCACCTGCTCGTCCCTGGACACTGGGCTGATGGAGACAGATGGAGAGCTTAAAGACACAATGACAGAGACACAGTGTTTCACTTATTAGCACCGTTGAAAACAGATTCAGCTATGACATTAGATCAAGAGAAATTAATCTACTGTATCTCTGTCTGAACTAGGGCTGAAATGAGAAGTCAATTAATTGATTACACAATAAACAAAAATTAATCTGCAACTATTTTGATAATCAATAAATCATTTACATCATTTTGCAAACAGTGACACAAAACCTTCCCTAGTTCCAGCACCTCAGTTGAAAAGGCCTGCTGTCATGCTTGGTCTTTGGGGGTTTTAGTGGTGATCACACAAAAACAGCAATGTGATGACATCAGCTTGGGTTTTAGGAAACTGTGACAAGCACCAAACAATTTATCAAGAAACCTTGAAAATAATCAGCAAGTTAAAAGAGGATGAAAATGACCATTAGAATGTTCTAATGTCAACATTCATTTTAGATTAACGTGGGATAAAGGAGCCAAATAGGCCGACTGGTGTATGCACGTACATGACAGCGTCCTGCGTCAGTGCGTCATAATCCTGTGCGTGTCTATCTGTTAATGACATTGCATCATTTAAAGTGATATGTCAGTGTAACCAGGTCTGACCCCGTAACACTGCTGTCACAACTTTTAGGGAAAAGCGACGAGGGTGGGATCACAGTGGAAAGGAGAGCGGGTGTGAAAGGGGTCGTGTTAAAATAAATGTTATATTTATAAAAATAAATCTGAAAGTGAGCAGGAAGCTCTGTGGCGTTAACAGAGCCACAGGTCTGAGTTACTGAGAGACATGTTAGAACAGTCTGGGAAAGGCAAACGAAGATGTCTCACCTGACGTCCATGGACTGGACTCCATCAGACAGCTCGTCCATGCAGCTCTTGTTCTCCAGGGGTCCCAGCGTGATGAGGGGAGGTTCAGCGGGAGTCTGGGCGTCCTCCTCCACAGCAACCACACCCTCTGCTGGAAACACAAACTCCTGTCAGAAACTGTCTGAAGAACTCACTGATTTCTACTGTTTCTTTTACTTTATATTTTTATTGGTGTTTACACCAACCAGCCACTTTATTAGGTGCACTTCAATGCAACACTGCTGTTTTAACATCTATGTTTATGAAGCTCAGCATGTTTCAGTTTTTGGTGAAATTGTCATAAATCCATAAATTCGATTATACGTTTATTACAGAGGTCATAGTTGGAGATGGTGTTGTACTGGGCTGCATTATATACAGAGGTGTTCCTATATTCCAACCCTCTCAGAAAGAGGACACAGAAATGTAAAGCATGCAGCATGCTGATATAACTTAAAACATTTCTTTATACAAAGGTTTTAGTCAAGAGATGTTTCTATGAGCACTGAATTCTTGGATGACAATCCTTAAATCAGTTTTCAGACCTTTAGGTTTACAATAAAACACTGAGGTGCAAAAAACGAATTCCTCTTTTTAGACTGGAGCATTTGACAAATGATCAGAGGGAAATTATGCTATGTTTCAAAAAGGAGAGCAAATATTTCAGTGCAGTCTTCACTCTAAAACCCAAACAGCACTGCAACAACTGTCACCACCCTCCAACATCACCTGCTGAGTCCCAGAGGCTATTTATCTGACAGTTTTTTTTTTATGAATGCTGCAGAAATGACCTTGTTTAATTTCCTCTGGGGATACTTGTGCTGATATCAGTAGTAACATTCGCCTAAAGTGCTGCAGTATTGTGGTGTTACTAGAGGCACTGTCCTCCTCGCTGTCTGACTGCTGAGTCACAGTGCTGGGCAAACAGAAAACACATCCACATTAAAAAAAATTAAAAACTCATTAATGATTTCCCTTTGAGCAGCTAGAGGGTCTAGTGAAACTCAAATGGATACGTCCTGTTTCCTAGCAACGATGCCTCTTCACGTGCACGGTTACTAGAACCAACAACTCAGACTGGGCCATGGACCGGAGGCAGCAGGGCAGAGCTCCCCAGCCGAGCAGGGAAACTCTCCATGTTCTCATCTTTTTGTCAGAATAGGATGAGCCCAACATTTATACTTCTTACTCATTTAATGTAGCAAAATCAAGTTGATGTGTTTTCATTTTGTGACGTCTATATGTTTCTATGGTGCATAATGTTTGGTGTGAATAAACGTGTTGTGTTTTATTCATCTCAGAAAAATGTGTTATTTCGTATCATTGATTTGCATTGCTCTTGGCGTGAAGAGGCTGGGAGGCTTTTATTGTGACGGGGTCAATAAATGTCCTCACAACAATAGAAACGTGTTATAGGAAGGGCATAGTAAATATTCACCTGAGGCACCAGATGGAGGCTCCACCTCGCTCTTCCTTGTTCTTTTCATAATCTCCTCAATTCTCTGTTAAAAAGTCAAGAAGAGACACCGCTGGTTGCACTGAAACAATAAAATATCCACTAATCTAATTGTTCAGGAGCTTTTACATGATTTTCATCAGCAAATGGAGTTTGCTCTGCTGTCATAGGTTTTCCTGTCATGACACCTGCTGATCATTTCTACACGTTTCACACATCTCTGTGCTACCTTCTTCCTCTGCAGCCTCTCCTGCTCCTCCTGGATGTGCAGCAGCTCCCTCTCCTGCCTTTTCCTCTCAGCCTCCCTCTGGGCTCGCAGGAAGGCCTCCTCCCTCTGGAAAATATCCACACACACAGTGGGGCTGTAGACCATTGTAAAATGATGTACATGCCACTTTAAATAAAGTGCTGATCTGTAAATGTATTAAGATCTGTGGCCATGTCACATTATTATTATGGACTGACTGTATCCAGCTGTGTTAGGGTGCAAGCGTTGTTCCAGAAGATAAAACAGAAGAAACCAACACTGACACAAGCTAGTTCACAGGGACTGAGACACAGGTATGGACAGTATTAATAAAAAAGACGTGTGTAGGCTGACCTCTCTGTCCAGCTGCTCCTGCATGTCCTTCCATCTCTGCTCCTTCTGTCGTCGCTCCTCTTCCTCCTTGTTCCTCCTCTCCTCCTCCCGCCTCATTCTCTCCTCTTCGGCCTGGCGTGCCGCTCTCTCCTGTCGCTCTCTCGCTTCCTGCTGCCTCCGATGTTCCTCCTCTGCTCTCAGCCTGAAGGGACACATGAGCTTTGAGCAGCTCCGGTCACCACAGACTAGGAACAGTTTCTGGTGTCCTAAAGAATGATCTCTGGTGTTTCGATCTTGTGACGACCTGGTGCTTGTCTAGCTGTGGTCGCTCCTGTCTTTACCCTGTCTGCAGGGAAGGGGCTTTGCCAGCAGTCTCTGTTGGTGTGTGGCCTCTTTCCTCTGCACCTCTCGACAACACTGTCCTAGCAGCATATTTTCACTCATCCCACTCACTGCACTACTGACATTTACAGATTCCTAAATGCTTGTTTGTGTATTACTGACTTTTCTCTGGTTACTCCCCCTGTCTCTGCCTTTGTTGCTTCAGTCCAGACTCTGACAGTCTGGACCCTGTTTATGGATGTAGTCATTTCTTTTCAGTACACCTTCTTTCAAAGGAAGACTGGATGTTTTGTGCTTAGAACATCCACTACTCTCAGAACTGGACCACAAACCCGAGTAGCGACGCAGATGAAAACACTTCGGACATTACAGACTGTGATGAGATACTGAGGTCTAGTTTATTGCTCACTGTTTGTCAGGAAAATAGTTTTTCATTATGAATCAATGAGACACAAGGTTTATTTAAAATGAATTTAAAGTGGAAAACAAGTTTAGTCATGCCCTACGATGTGACAAACATTAACTAGAACATTCACACCTAAACTACCATGAAACTAATTTTGGCCACTAACTCTTTCTTCCTCTACATCACTTACTCCTAGCTGAAAAAAGCTGAATTACCGATCATGCCACATATGTGACTGCGTACACAACACACACCTGTCCTCCTCCTGTCGCTGTCTCTCCTCCTGCTCCTTCTGCACCCGGGCCAGGCGCCGTCTCTCTGCCAGCAGTTTGGATGCCTCCTCAGCATCCGTCGTCCCCCCGACACTCCTGCCTGTGGGTGCGCCCGGAGACTCTGGGGACAGGGAAGGTTGAACAGGGAGGTGGTGCAGTATGACTTTAAAAAACAATTGATGTCTGGACAAACTTTAGGATAAAATCCAGATCAGCCAGTACATTTAATTTTTAGTTCTCTTTCTTCTTTGCAAGTGTCTGAAGATCTGGATCAGCTGCAAAGTTGTCCATAATGTGCTCATGTGTACATATCCAGAGTGGGAAATGGCTTCTTTGACCAGACGGTGGCTTACAAACACAAAATGTCTTGTCGCTAGGCTTACACACAGACGTCTGCGGTACATACTGTGCCTCTACCTGCTGTCAGTTCTCTGCTGGTGGATTTGGGGATCTTCTTCTCCGAGTTGTCAGATTTGGTTGATTTCCTCTCCAAGGTGCCATGACCTTTGACCTCAACGTTTGCCTTGTCATCGGTGCTGGGGGTGGCGGCTCTTTGACGGAGCGGGGAGGGGGGATACTGGCTGGGGGAGCAGGGAGACTGGGCACCACTCCTGGTTGACCTCACCCTGAAAACACACAGCAGAACTGAACCAGGTCAGCTGGACTATAATCCTGTGTGGCTGTTTCTCACACTTCTTATATGACCTCGGTCCACGATCCTTGCTCGACTTGGAAGTCGCTCTGAGGAGCGAGAGCATCCTGATGTCCTGGAAAGTGTCAGTGTGTGAGTCTGACATACCGTTTCGGTGTGGCAGGGCCCTTGCTGTTGGCCCTGAAGGAAGCACTGCGGACTGGTGTGTTCGGAGTCTCCCCCTGCAACATTTTTCAAACATCAATAAAGATCTGAGCACCTTATAAACAAATACCACCAATCAAACATTTATCAAGTTGTTTTTTTGTTACATTTTCTTATTTTGAAAAATATCACTAATTATGACTTCTTCAAGGTATTTATTGCAGCTTCCTGATATTAAAAACTCACTGCAACATTCATCTGTAAACATGCCTACAGCTACTATAAACAACAGGATCAATGACAGGCCTGTCAGCTGCCAGGAGCCAGATATGGAAATGAAATCTTCTTTCTCTTGTCACACTGATCCATGTCTTCTTGTCCAGTCCTGGTCCTGTGAGTCACTGACCCCCAGTTCTTTACACATAAAGACTGTGAATCTCCTGTGTGTGAGTGCATGTGTGTGTTTATGCCATATGTGAGTGTGTGTTTGTGTATGAGGGCTGACCGTGGGTGTTTTGGCCCTGGGCGTCTCCTCGGGGAGTCCAGCGATGCTCCTTCGGTTGGAGGAACTTCTGTATGGTCTGTGGTTGTTGGGGGAAGCTGTTCGATGAGACACAAAAGACAGTGATGGGTAACAAACAAACACACACGCACGAGGATCAAAATAGCATAAAAACACCAAAGTGTTGACAGAGAGAAATCGCACAAGTGAAAAAGACAAGGTGGAGTAAAATATACCAACAGCTAATAAACATAAAGCCTTCAGCGCCTCTATGCACCTGCTCATCTTTCTCACCTCTCTCTGGGGAGTGAAGGGCAGCAGCAGAGCTGGACAGCTGTTTGCTCATTGGTGCATCCGTGGCAGGTGGAGACAGGAAGTCAACAACTGATAAAGAATGCAAACAAAATGAACAAGTAACAGACACGGACATGGACATGACTGTAAACCAAAGCACTGACTGTAGCAGCAGCTGACACACTACCTTTTGATGTAAATGTTCAATAAGCATCCTGATCCCAAAACAAACACCCATCATACGACAAACACCAAACTGCCAGCTCACACAGAACATGATCCCGCTGATCGATGAACCGTGCAGCCTTTGTGATGTGAGACAGATAAGAAGCAGCAGAACAGGGGGCAGAGGCCTGTTCACCAGGCAATCTGCTTCATCACAAAATGGAGGATGATGACACAGAGGTAGCTGCTGCAGAGCCACGACACTGAGAGGAAATCCAGGAGCGAACCAGCACCAGCAGGTCAACACTGAACTTCTCACTCCGACCTGGTCACTGAGTTGCCAGACAAGGTTTTTACAAGGTTAACAGTAACCATCTCCCCCAAAATCTGGTTTTGGACGTTGTCGTTGTGAACAGGTTTTAGTGAAATTACTCTCTAGAAAGGAATTTGAGAAAGTTCCCAAAAGAAGAGACTTCTGCAGTGGCAGCATCTGGAACATGGACCAGTGATGACAGGAAATGATGTTGTGTGTTTGTGCATTCAGGATGTTTGTGCGTGTTTTATAGACTGGGTTCCCTGCTGAGAATGATACAGTCTGCATCGCTGAACAGGCCCTGGGCCAGGCAGAGAGGGAGTGGAGCAGCCCTTTGTTGGGATGAGGGGGTTTACAGGGTTTCTGTCTATTTCTGGACAATGTTTATGACTTAAGTGCAAACTTCTACCAAGAAAATGATCTGTGCACTAGAAACTATGTTGCATTTACTGAACCAGAATGTATACCTGTATTTTATCTTAAAAAAAGATCATGATTGATCTGCATGCGCTTTGTTTCTGGCTCCATGCTGGGCGTCAGCTTCTGGATCAACAGTGGCTCCCTGCAGTTCTTTATGTCTTTGTCTGACATAAAGTCAAGCAAACAAAGACGTACAGGCCTGCAGACTGGTACGACTCGCAGCTGCAATTTTAGAAAACCAGCTACTCAGAAACCTTTTTGCTCCATCTGTACGTAAAGACAACATGCATGTTGTGCAACAGTTTTACTTTAAGAACAGTCCTTATAACATATGTGTTGAGTAAAAAGAGAAGATGATTTTAAAAGCAAGTTTCCCCAGCACTGCAACATAAACACAAAACAGCTGGTGTGACAGCACAGAGAAAAACACACATGCAGACAGAGGAACAGGCGAGACAGCAGGACTGGTGGCGGGGGAGCGGTATGAGCGTGGCACACTGACAGTCATGTGGTCTGTACCGTTACGGGGTTTGCTGGCACTGGAAGCAGCAGGAAGCTCATTGGGCTGAGCGGAGCCAATGGCATGGCAGGGTGGGGTCATAGGGTTACCTGGGCAGCAAGTGAAGCGGAGAAGGCGAAGCGTTACACACTCACACACTCATCCAAGCACACCTGCATCACTAACACATAGCAGACATACACACCAGTAACAGCAGCTGACCTTTATCCACACACACTGATGTAAACAGTAAAGAAAATATGCCTTAGGTAATCAGGCGCTTGCAGTTGGAGCAATATACAGTATGTTAAAAGCCTTTATTTAATCAAACATCTCAGTACAAATGCCAGCTGGTTTTGACCTGGCATTTTACTACTTACAGGGTACCACCACTAAAAGCTGCCAGGTGTATACAGTCTGTTACATTTCTGCAAGTGAGGGAAACTTGGACTTGTGAAGCGGCCCATGTCAACACCAAATTGCCTGACAATTCATTCAGAAGTGTGGAGACCTTTCTCTCTGAGCCACAGATGTCACCCACATAGTGGCAGTGGAGGACAAGTCAGTGGATCACCACAATGAGGAGAATTCATCCTCAGGGAAGCATGGATGTCTGTACAAAATATGATGGAAATAAATCAAATGGCAACCAAGCTTCAGTCTGGACCAACATGGCTGACATTCCCTTTCCCAGACTCACACATTATGGTGGCTAAAAATGAACAACAAGGCCTGGTTCTGCTTGCAGTTGAACCACTTACACTGTTTGTGAATTTACAGTAACAAAACTCAGAGGTTTAGAAAAATGTAACTTACAACGCTGTGAAGACATCTGCGCTTCACTGAAATGGACCTTTACTTATGTGGCTGGAAAAAATCACCTTGCATCAGACTCTGTCATAGGGTCATATACTCGGTCTCATCTTGTTCCAAGTCTTCATCGAAGCTTTATGCTGTGAGACATCCGAACCCCGGTCTACGTTTTAATGGCTTCACTATACCATGAAATGGAAATGCTCTAGGTGTCTTGTGCATCATTTTAAACACAAAATCAATCAGTCCTGGTGTTTCTGGATCTTCTGGGATCTCCACGTGAATCTGACATGTGGGTTTGAACAAAGCTCTGCTGCGCAGCATCAGTCGGTTTCCTGTGGTATTTGCACTATCATCAGGCTGAAGTAGCCTGATCTAACTGGTTGGTTTATGGCCTGGAAGGTCAGCTGTTGATACTAGTTGATCAATTGTGTCCATATTTCTGTCAGGTTATCAGACCATAGAGCAGTTACCAGGCAAGTGTCTTGTGATGAACTCCTAAACAGCTGAGGAGTTTATTACCAGGAAATACGTCATGTACTGTCGACCTGTACTGTTTACATTCTCAGTTTGCACATTGACTGTTGACTGCTGCACATGCTGCTCCCAT